GAGCTTTTTGGGTCCTCTAGGCATAGAATCATATCATCATCAAATAGTGCTAATTTAAGTTCTTTTCCTATACGTATCCCTTTAATTTCTTTCATTGGCTAATTGCTCTGGCCAGTGTTTCAAGAACTACGTTAAATAGAAGTGGTGAAAGAGGGCGCCCCTGTCTTATTCCAGTTTTTAGAGGAAATGCCTTCAATTTTTCTCCATTTAGAATGATGTTGGCCTGGGGCTTAGTGTAGAGAGGCTTTATGATGTTGAGATATGTTCCTGTTATCCATAGTTTTTCTAGTGTTTTGAACATAAAGGCGCCAAAAACATGCATTGGAGAAAAGATAGCCTCTTCAACAAATGGTGCTAGGAAAACTGGAAATTCATATGCAACAAAATGAATTTAAGACCCTATCTCTCACCAAAACTCAACTCAAAGTGGATCTAGGAATTAAACCAGAGACTCTCTAACTAATAGAAGAAAAAGTAGGTCCTAATCTTCATTGTGTGGGATTAGGCCCCAACTTTCTTAATAAGACTCCTATAGCTCAAGAATTAAAACCAAGAATCAATAAATGGGATGGACTCAAACTAAAAAGTTTCTTCTCAGCAAAAGAAACAATCTGTGAGGTGAATAGAGAACCTACAGAATGGGAGCAAATTTTTACCCCTCACACATTAGATAGAGCACTAATCTCTAGGGTATATAAAGAACTCAAAAAGCTAAACACCAAAAAAACCCCAAATAACCCAATCAATAAATGGGCCAAGGACATGAACAGACACTTCTCAGAAGAGGATATTCAATCAATCAATCAACAAATATATGAAAAAATGTTCATCATCTGTAGCAATTAAAGACATGCAAATAAAAATTACTCTAAGATACCATTCAGTCAGAATGGCAGCTATTATGAAGACAAACAACAATAAGTGTTGGTGAGGATGTGGGGGAAAAGGCACATTCATACATTGCTGGTGGGACTGCAAATTGGTGCAGCCAATATGGAAAGAAGTATGGAAATTCCTTGGAAAACTGGGAATAGAACCACCATTTGACTCAGCTATTCCTCTCCTGGGTCTATACCCAAAGGACTTACAAACAGCATACTACAGGGACACGGCCACATCAATGTTTATAGAAGCACAATTCACAATAGCTAAACTGTGGAACCAACCTAGATGCCTTTCTGTAGATGAATGGGTTTAAAAAATGTGGCAAATATATACAATGGAATATTACTCAGCAATAAAAGAGAATAAAATCATGGCATTTGCAGGTAAGTGGATGCAGTTGGAGAAGATAATGCTAAGTGAAGTTAGCCAATTCCAAAAAAACATAAGGTGAATGTTTTCTCTGATATAAGGTGACTGACTCATAGTGGAGAAAGGAGAGGGAGCATGGGAGGAATAGACAAACTCTAGATAGGGCAAAAGTGTGGGAGGGGAACAAAGGGGTCAGAGGGTTAGCAATGATAGTGGAATGTGATGGACAGCATTATCCAAAGTACATGTATGAAGACATGAATTAGTGTGAACATACTTTAAATACAGAGATACGAAAAATTGTGTTCTATATGTGTAATAAGAATTGTGATGCATTTCGCTGTCATGTATTTTTAAAAATAAAAGCAATTTTTTTAAACAAAAGAAAACACAATAATCATTGTAAAAGAAAAAGAAAAAGCTGGGGGAAGACGTGTAACCCATGCCACCTTTTTCCTAGGAAAAGGAGATCGGACACTTTCCGTATATATTATTAATAGGAATGCTGAGCAGAATGCTGACTCCAAAGATGCTCATTGAGAAGAGACCTCAAATCCCACCTGGCCAATTTCCTTTTGTGGTGGAAACAAGGGAAGAGTTCACTGCCATACGCATAAGTCACATAAAGATCCCATAGAAAACCACAGGCAGATTGGGACAAGAAGCGGTAAAGAAAGGAGAGATGCGAATCAAAGCATCGAGAGTTTATGCACCACCAAACCCCAGAGCATTAGCAGGCCTCACACAAGCTATCACTTCTTAATTGCATTCAAAAGTGTCAGAAACAGAGAGCTATTTGTCAGCCTTATTACCTGTGCTAGGCAGCTATTGTACACGTCTCTCGGGGAGTCTGGGGGTTTTATATGAATGTGGAAGACACAGAAAACATCAGTAACTGGACCGTAATTCTGGAGCTAAACGACACAGGGAATGAAATCCCTCCTACTTCTTGCCTGGGCTTAACAGGAAAATGGGAGAAATGCACCAAATTAAATTTAGATTCATGTGCAGATCAGAAATAATAGGGGAAAAGGACGATGACAGCAATGCTGGTTGCCTGGAATTAATGTAGATCTTTTTATATACGAGACATTTTATGGATTTGGAAACCCCAGATTAGACATTTTAGGGCAAATGGATCATGAAGAGAGAGATAGTAAGACATTTCTGATAAGGTGATAAGGAACAACAGTATTACCTACAACAGGTAATAAGGCTGACAAATAGCTCCCTGCTTCTGACACTTTTGAATGCAATTAAGAAGTGATAGCTTGTGTGAAGCCTGCTAATGCTCTGGGGTTTAGTGGTGAATCAACTCTAGATACTTTGATTCGCATCTCTCCTTTCTTTACATAAACCAGAGTTTAAGAAACTCTTGGTGAGGCTCTGGGTTTCTGTAGCCATCATCGATTCACTTTCTGAAGAAGGGGTTTCATTAGTTGTTAATTCCCTCTGCTGCTGGACAGCTCTCCGCCTGCCAGAGCAGAGAAGCCATTCAAATGCAGTCTGCAAATACAGAGTTGGCAAAGGAAATCCTGAACAGATTCCTATGGACATTTGTTTTCTCCCTTTGAGGAAGCCTCTTTATTCTCCTATAATTGTATCTGATGAGAGGAAACACAGAAATTGATGGAGCAGAAGCCAATCTGAATCTTTGCTTGTCGCCTTATTGTTTATTGACTCATAAGCTACCTGCCCTGAAACAAATATAATTATGAAGCAATTATCCTATGTTCCTCAGGGGAAGGAAAAAAAAGATCCAGAGATATATTATGTCCTGCAGTTTAAGTTTACACAGGCTCTGTAAATTCAGGCAGTTGTAGTTGCGGCACTAAGAAAGCAGTTGGATGATTGCATGTGCTTCACTGAGAATGCGATTGTCATTTTGTCTTTTACGCCAGTATTTCTCAAAATTTAATGGGCAAAGGAATCACCTGAAGATCTGTTAAAGTGCTGATTCTGATTCAGAAGCTGTGGCATAGGCTGTGAAATTCTGCATTTCTGATAAATCCCAAGATGTCACCAATGCTACTGACTCTCAGACCCACACTTTGTGTACAAGGTCCCAGCACACCGCAGGGTCTGGTGTACAACTCAAGTCCACAGCCATTGTTCACAAGAGGCACGTGTGAGTGTGCTTTCCTTCTCAAATATATTCTTTTGCTTCCTGAATTCTATTATGAACCTGAAATATACATAAGATTGAAAGAACAACATGATGAATCTGTACATGCACCAACTAGCGTCAAGAATGACTGACATTTTGCTCTGCTTACTTCCAAACCCTTGCCACCCCCTTCAACTCTCTCTGTCTATCTGTGCCTCTCTCTTTTGCTCAATTCCCTACATTAATGTCTTATTTCTCCTCTCCTCTTTTTCCCTCTCCTTTTCCCCCTTCCTTTGTCCCCCCCTCACTCTTAGTCTCTTTTGCAGTCAAAAGGAGTTGCAGATATCATAATCCTGTATTCACAAGTAATCCATCATGAATTTCCTAAAAATAAAACTAATTTCAATGCAAATATTACACTTCAGAGAATAAATAATTCCAATTCTATAATATAAATAATTTCAAATTCCCTGAATTGTAAAGTGACTTTTATATCTAATTTTTAAAAAATAATAAAAAAAACAGATCCAAAATAGGAATTGCCTCCGTTGTTATAAAAAACTATGGCTAGATACTTAAGTGCATCCACATTAAGCATTTTTGGCAAGTAAAGCTCAAAGTGTGAGGTACTTTGCATTATATCATACCAAGAAGCTCAAGTGGTAAGTTCATCAGTGACATTAACTGTGTCCATTGGGTTGCAGCGATAACCACTAGATCTCTATTATTAAAATGCATTGGCCTCTTTGTAATCAATCTATAAGGTAATAATTTAGCCATGACCTCATTTGTCTTTGAGCATTTTCTTACTTTGTGGCTCAACAATTTACCCTCAAGTACCACCTTGTTCTTTCCCAGCTCACACCTGGAATCAGCCACTTCTCCAGAGAGCCCTGGATGTCATTTGTGGAGAATGACATTGAGCACCAAGATCCAGACTCTAGGTGTGCTCACTACTACTCCAGTGTCCTGGTTTCCAGATTTGTTCACAGGTAAAGGTTGGAAATGCATTTTTAAAAATTAAGTTCATACTGCTATTTCCAATTTGAATTCAAATTATAGGAATTTTACATTTTATTCTCTTATTAAAACCACACTATATTTTCTTATTTATTTCAGCCTATAATTTATTTAAAATGGTTTCCAAACTACAATTGTTACAAGATTTTTCTGCAGCTTTTTTCCCCTTAAAACATATTCTACTAAAGTATAAAGTAATAGATTCAAAAGTTATGTGAATTCACTATATTCTCTCTCAGTTTTATGTAGATATAGATTTTTTTCCTACTTATGTTCAAGTTTAGTAAAGCTTTTGAATGTGTCATGCATCCATGGTTCAAAAGTCAAAACTGAATTTTCAGAGAAGTCTTGACCCATTTCCATTCCTCTCACCCATTCCCCCATTCTCTATTGATAACCTTTTTTACTAATTGTAATCTACTTTTTTTAGAAACAAAAAGGTAGTAAATTTACCTATTTATTCTTATTTCTCTTTTTTTCTTACATAAAAGTAGCATGTCATATACTCTGTGACTTGCTTTTTTCTCTTAATAATATTGTCTTAGAAATAAGTGGATATCAGTCCACACGATCTTCTTCATTCCCATCTTCACAGCTGCAAAGCATTACCTGTTGATGACACTCCCTGTTATCCAAACAGGCCTCCACTGATGGATGATTGGGTTGTTTCCAACCTCTAGGTATTACAAATAATGATGCATAGTTTCTGTATATGTGTTGAGGGATATGTTCAGAACAGACTCATGGACTCTGGATCAAAGAATAAATAGAAATGCAATTGTGTTAGATATTGACATGTTCCTCACAACAGGAGTTTTACCTTTGAAGATTACCAGCTGCTGTGTGTGAGTGCCTGCTTCTCCATGGTCTTGCCAACACACTGTTTTGCAAGTGTTTGAATGGTTTAAATTATGTTAGATGAGAAATAGTATCTCAGTGGACGCTATATTTGTATTACACTTATGAATGAAGTTTAGATCTTTTCATATATTTAAGGTGGATTTGTCTTGATTTATCTGTAAAATGTCTATCTCTTTTGTTCTTTTCTCCATCATATTCTGGGTCTTTTGTTCTAGTTAATATTTCTAGATGGACATCTTAAAATGCAGACTTTATAGTAAAAAAATAAAAATTGATTCTTTTTTCCTTATTTGTATTTGATTCATTGTTACAGACTTTTTCATAAACATGAACAATATAATTTGGCCAACATCATTCCCTAGTATTCCCCTTTTCTCTTCTCTACTCCCTCCCCCATGTTTCTTTCCTCTCCTTCCTGATCTCCCTTTGATTTTCATAAATCTTACCCACTTTTTTTTCCTTTTCCTATCTTCCATATAAGAGAGAAAATATATATTTGACTTTCTCAGTTTGACTTATTTTGCTTTATGTTCTCAAGTTCCATTCATTTTCCTGTAAGTGACATGATTTCATTCTTCTTTATGGATGAACAAATTTTCATTGTGTATATATACATTTTCTTTATCCATTCATCCATTGATGGACACCAAGGCTGGTTTGATGGTTTGGCTATTGTGAATTGTGCTGCTGTAAACATGGCTATGTATGTGGTGCTATAGTATGCCAACTTTAATTCTTTTGGATAAATACCAAGGGATGGTATATCTGGGTCAAAAAGTGTTATTTCTTACACTGAAAGCATTCTCTCTAAAAACTGGAACAAGACAAGAATGCCCTCTTTTACCAATTCTATTCAACATAGTCCTTGAAACTCTAGCCAGGGCAATTAGGCAAAAGAAAGAAATTAAGGGGCTATGAATAAGGAAAGAAGAGCTCACTATTTGCTCCCTATTTGCTGATATCATATTCCTCTATTTAGAAGTTTCAAAAAACTCCACCAGAAAACTTCTAGAACTGATAAATGGATTCAGCAAAGTAGCAGGATTTAAACACCCATAAATCTATTGTGTTCCTATGCACCAATGAGGATTCAGCTGAAAGAAAATTTAGCAGGACTATCCCATTCACAATAGCCTCGAAAAATTATTTGGGAATCAATCTAGCAAAGGAGATGAAAGACCTCTACAATGAAAACTACAGAACACTAAAGAAAGAAATTAAAGACCACGTTAAAAAATAGAAAGACCTCCCATATTCTTTGTTAGGAGATTTAATGTTGTCAAAATGGCCATACTACCAAAAGTACTAAACAGATTTAATGAAACTCCTATTAAAATCCCAGTGACATTTTTCATAAAAATAGAAAAAGCAATTATGAAATTCATTTGGAAAAATAAGAGGCCAGAATAGCCAAAGCAATCCTTAGCAAGAAAAGTAAAGCAGAAGGCATCACAATAACAGGCCTCAAATTATACTACAGAGCTATAATAACAAAAAAAAAGAATGATATCAGCACCAAAAACATACATGAAGGAAAATGGAATGGAATAGAAGACACAGAGACAACCCCACATAAATACAGTTATCTCCCATTAGATAAAGGTACCTTAAACACACACTAGAGATAGCCTCTTCAACAAATGATGCTGAGAAAACTGGAAATCCATATATAGCAGAATAAAATTTAACCCTTATCCTCTTACCCTACATAAAACTCAAAGAGAATCAAAGACCTAAGCATTAGACCAGAGACTCTACACCTACTAGAAGAAAATAGGAACCAATTTCTTCAACAAGACTCCTAAAGCACAAGAAGTAACATCAAGAATCCATAAATGGTATGGTATCAAACTAAAAAGTTCTTCACAGCAAAGGAAGCAATCAAGTACATGAAGAAACAGCCTGCAGAATGGAAGAAAATCTTTGCCACCTGCACCTCAGAGCATTCATCTCCAGGATACATAAAGAATTCAAAAAAGTTAACACCAAACAAATAACCCAGACAATAAATAGGCAAAGGAACTGAACAGACATTTCACAGAAGAAATATAGGTGGTCAAAAAATGTATGAAAAATGTTCAACATCTCTAGCAATTAGAGAAATTCAAATTAAAACTACACTGAGATTTCATCTCACTGTAGTGAAAATGGAAATGGCAATTGTCAAGAATACAAGCAACAACAAATGTTGGCAAGGTGTGGGGAAAAGGGCACACTCATACACTGCTGGTGGAACTGCAAATTGGTGCAACCACTCTGGAAAACAGTATGCGGACTTATCAAAAAACTAGGAATGAAACCACCATTTGATCCAGTTATACCACTCCTAAGTTTATATCCAAAGGAGTTAAAATGAAGCCACATCAATGTTTGTAGCAGCTTAATTCACAATAGCTAAGCTACGAAGTAGCCTAGGTGCCTTGACTCTAGTTGATGGATAAAGAAAACGTGGTATATACGCACAATGGTATATTACTGAGCCATTAAAAAGAATGACTTTATGACATTTGGTGGTAAATGGATGGATCTGGAGGCCATCATGCTTGGTGAAATAAACTAATCCCTCAAAAAACAAAAGTCAAATGTTCTCTGATATGTGGATGCTAACACATAACAAGGGCAGGGTGGAGGAGAGTAGAATTTCAGTAGATTAGACAAACGGGAATGAAGAGAAGAGAGGAGGGATAGAAATAGGAAACACAGTGGAACAAGCCTAACATGACATTCCTATGTACATATAGGAATACACCACAGTGGATCTCCACATCACACACAACCACAAGACTGAATCCTAATTAGAATAAGACATACTCCGTGTTTGTATAAATATTTCAAAATATACTCTACTGTCATGTATAATTAAAAATAACAAATAAAAATTTAAAAATAAATAAATAAACAAAAAAGTATTATTTTTTAATGGTAAGGGATTCATTTTACATGGGAAAACATGATGATTCTAAATTTCCATTGTCATGGGAATATGGCCTAAAATCTGTAAAGCAAAATGTTAAATGAAGTAGACATACCCAGAATTTAAGTAGGGAGAATTTTTTTAAGGGAAAAAAAAAGTTTTATCACTTTTTTAGGAAAAGAGAAACACAGGGAACTTCTGTCTTAGAGGCTATGATTCTCCCCATAAAGGAGAACAGACGGGTTTTGGGGGTTTTTTTTTGTTTTTTAAGAGAGAGAAAGAGAGAGAGGAGAGAGAGATTTTTTTTTTTTTTTTTTTTTAGTATTTATTTTTCAGTTTTCAGTGGACACAACATCTTTATTTTTTTTTATGTGGTGCTGAGGATCAAACCCAGCACCCCACGCTTGAGCCACATCCCCAGCCGGAGAACAGATGGTTTTTAAAGAGGTGATCCAAAGGAGTCCTGTTTCCCCCCAGAGATTAGGGAGGAGAGATCAGGGAGGGGAAATTAGGGAGGGAGAAGGGGGAGGAGAAAAAATGTCCAGGTTAGAGCAACAAGGGCTGTATTCAAAGCATTAAGTGGGCCATTGTTACATGTCCCTGCTATCAAATTCTACTTCTCATTTCTATAAAAAAATGGGCACAACATCTCCAAGCTGCTTCCTGTTGAGAGAGGGCAAAGTTGGGGGGAAGTGCCCAGATGTCCTTGTTCTCTATCAGGTGGAGCATGGACAGTTGCAGATATTTAACATCAGGGCTGCCCTGAGGTCCTTAGCATCAGTTGGCAGAGTACTGGACAAAGCACACACAGGGCAGGGCTCATGCTAGGACAACAATAAACAAGACAGCAAAGCATTACATTTTGTAAACAATTAGCACAGAAGCAGTATTTCAGCCAGTCTCTGAAACTCAGGACAAACTTGTGACTGTAGAGTCCTTCATGATAGTTATCATTAGGCACTCCCCCATAGAAACGCTTCCTCTATAGCCTCCAGCTTTACTTACTTTTGGTAGGGCTGACACAAATGTACATCCTAAATTGTATTTTTAAAAAATCATTATCATGGGGGCTGGGATTGTGGCTCAGCAGTAGAGCGCTTGCCTCGCACGGGCGGGACCCAGGTTCGATCCTCAGTACCACATAGAAATAAAGGCACTGTGTTGTGTCCATCTACACCTAAAAAATAAATGTTAAAAAAAATCATTATCTTTTTTTAAAAAATGTTCATATAGGACTATGCTTTGGTTATACTGTCCTGCCAGGTGTTTTAAGACCAAGTTGGTCAAAAATTGACTTTGTACTGATCTACCCTTAGGGTCAGTTGAGATTCTTCAGAGATCACTCTTAGGAACATGTGAGTAGCCTCTTGGCTCCTTTTAGCCTTCCTCCACCAGTTACGCCATGTGCCAGGATGGGACAGAGACATCCCTAACATGACCCTCTTTGCAAAACGTACACTGGTTGGCTTCCTCTTCTCTAGGGCCCTCTCCGTTCCTCAATCCGGAGGTTAGGTGACTCACCAGAGTTTCAGGGCCCTTAGAGGGGTCCCATCGATCCCTGGGTCCCAGCTGACTTCTGAGGGCCATGGTAAGTGGGGAGATTCTAATACACTTCCCTCTGTAGCGATAGAGTAAGAAGAAAAAATTACCCAGATTAGAAAAGGTTTAAATGGTAGTACTGACGCTCATGGTCTCATCGACACATATACAACACTGCATCAAAAAAAATTGTAGAACATATATTCCTACATAAGGTAGAAAAAAAAAGATTCCAAAAATTGTGTACAGTCTAACACTCCTCTTATTAACTACTGAGATAGAGATATTTAATTTTAGGTAGGCATATGAATGCCAAAAAAAAACAACACGAAAAGGAAATAAAGACCTGAGACTCGAGATGATTCGAGTCCTCCACTTCCTCAAGTGGAGGAAGACAGGGAGATCGGATAAGAGTCCAGTTCAATGAATATATTGTCAAAGTCCTGCTGTAACCGGTTCACTTGACACTTTGACTATATCCCTTTGTCACTTTGAACTTACATGTTTTTTTCTTTTTCTTCTCCCTGAACTTCTCCTTCCTGATCTTTTCCCTAACCTCTCCTTCTTGATCTCCCCCTCCATGAACTCCTTTTTCCTAAACTTTTCCCTGATCTTCTCCTCTCTGATTTTATTTTCCCAGACTTCTCCTCCCTTATCTTCTCTTTTCTGATCTCTTCTTCCTAATCTCACTTTCTTTGAATCACCTCCATAAAGCCTCCTGTTACTACTGATGGGCAGCCTTTGGGATAAGAGTCTGCCGTGTTTCTCCCTTGCTAGCAAAGCAATAAACCATCTTTTTCCCTTTTCTCAAAACCACGTCCTTGTCATTGGATTGGCATTGGAGACAAGGACTGAGCTTTCAGCAACACTACATTTGGAATTGCATGGTCACTTTATGAACTTTTTAGGCTAAACATGCAATCAGACAAATGTAAGCTGATGCTGTGTCATGAACCCAAAGCTCTGACTAATGCACTTTGGTGCATCTGAGATCTAGAAGAAGCAAACAAAAAAGAAATTCAACTTTTTAATTTATGAAATCAAATTGAAGAAAAACATCTCAAGAAATGAGAGAAAGAGCAATTAATAAAGGTAAAAATAGACATTAATGAAATAAACTAATAGAAAAATGCTAACAATTGAAATGATCAATGGAAAAGTAAAGGTTGTTCTCTGACAAGATCAATAAGACAGACAATCCTTTGGCGAACATGATCAAGAAAATAAGAAAGAGGGCCAACAATGTGATAGGTATGTATTAAATATGCAATAAATAAGAATTTGACTTAGAAGAATACCATTCAAACTTTCTGGTCTTCAGAAAATTATGCTACCACAGAAAGAAAAAAAAAGAAAAGAAAGAAAATGGAAATATATATATATATATATATATATATATATATATATATGAAGTCAGTAAACACAATTTTAGCTCTGTTATTTAGTATCTACATCTAAGTGATTTGCAAACCTTTTTATGCATGTCATTCATTATGCCTTAGTGTTTCAAATAGCCTTTATTCCACCTTCCACAGTGATAACCTAAAAAACCCCTGAGCCAACGGAGTCCACAAGCATTTGATTTGCATTCAGAGGAAATGATAGGAGGAAGTGTGGGGACTTATCTGAGGAGTTCTTGGCATTTCTTGTTACTACATTTCTTTTTTCTTGTTTACAATGCAAACAAAAAGTTAGAACCATAATTGTTTTACTTCTGCCATTAAAATATGCTATCAAAATCATATTAATGAACAGATATTAATATTTGGTGATGACTGCTCTGACCTCCTGTCTAGCAGGCCCCATTTATGTCTTGTTTGATGAAAGTTTTCCGCATCTGCGAAGCAAAAGGGCAAACTGATTTATGAACAAGACTTATTGTCACAGCGGCAGATTTGTATAATGAGAAATATATTAAATCTAATGAAGGGAGAGCGTGCCCACCAAGGCAGCAAGTCTGTGTTGTGATTAAGTGATTCAATATTCCTCAATGGATTAATTTAGACAATGCATCAGGGCATGTAGCCACTGCCAGACCTCTTCACTCTCATGACAAATGCTAAGGAATGCTGCATATTTGTGCATATGCATTGGGTTTTTAAGGTAAGATGATAAAGTGTCACCCTCAGACCTCTACATTAACAAGATGAATCCCAAAGATGCCTATGTCCTACTGTTAGAGAAGTAGGAAGATCTATCAAAAATGTCATCTTTTAATATCTGCTTACTGTAAAGCATTTACTATAAAATAGACACACACTTTTACCTTTTCAACCAAACCGACTCACTGTATCTGACAAACACTAAATGCAATCCACGTTAATTCCCTCTCTGGTCCTCAGCAGAGCTGAAGTCAGACACAGAACAATCAATCTTGAGCTCTGGTTTTTAAATAGGAGAATGTTAGCTATTATTTAATTGTCTACATTTGCAAAACCCATACAATAAGCAATGTCATTTATGGGATTTGAAAGCAACAGCAAACCCATCAGGGCTCAGCAGCCACCTTTCTGTAGTTTGGAACAAGTCCAGTTTCCAGTTGTTTCCCATCATTGTGACTACATAAAGCAAAGACCTGTAACCCTCAGTTAGAGATTGCATGACACATGAAAAATAGCACGATTCCACCACCGGTGTGTGTTCAACCCACACCATATAGAAGAAAACAGGCTGTCTGGTAAGCCCTTCAAATCATGTGGAAAAGACACTTAACATTCCAAGTGCCTGCAGGAAATGGATTGAAAATTCTAACATTTTTTCCCTATCCCTTTATTTTCTTTTACAGAGTTCAACTAAGGGAAAAGTGTCTTGGGAGTACCAACACCAGAATTAAGAAAATAGCCACTTACTTGGAATCCAGCAGCCTTAATAAGGTGAAGTAGAAATTCAGGATGCCTGGAGAATTTTTTCTGATGACTCAAGGACAAAGAGAAATAAAACCCTAGGTTCCTTTCTTTATAGTAACTGGAAGAAAGAAAATATGACTTCTACGTGAGGTAGGCAGTGAAAAAATAACCATTTCTCACAAACACTGCTGTAGTTTGAATTTTAAATGTCCCCTAAAGGCCGTCATATTGGAAGGTAGTGGAAACTTTAAGAGGAGGGGCCAAGTGAGAAGTTCTGGGTCATTGGGGTTCTGGGTCATGTATGATGTGAAGGAGGCAGTGGAACACCAGTCTCTTCCCTCTTCCTGTTCTTTTTTATTTTCATTTTTTTAATCCCAGCTATGAAGTGACAAGCTTTGCTCCAACCTGTGTTCTCCCTATGATGTGCTGTCTCTGGCCCAAAGCAGCAAAACCAATCAAGCATTTTACTGAAACTTCTAAAACCATCAGTAAAAATAAATCTTTTCTCTTTGTAAGTTGATTATCTCAGGTATTTGTCACAGTATTGGGAAGCTGATTAACTCAAACACATACAAGCTAGAGTCCAGTTCAACTTAGATTTTGGATCCTCCCAGTCCATCAGATTTCTCTAAGCCTACAGTGTTTGGTGTAGGGAAAAAAAAAAAAAAACAAGAACTTAGATCAGGAGATAAGTAAGCTGGAATTCAATTCTTATTCTGCATGACCCTGATTATGTTTTTTATACCTTAAGGAATGATTATTCCTAATAATTTCATAATTTCTTAAATAGTTACCCTAATATAATAAAAACATCTTTTTCTTTACTAATAACGCTGTGCCAATCTTTTAAGGAGGGTGGCTCTCTTTGAAAGAGGGCTTTCTTGATGAGGAATGGGGCAAGGGAACCCATGCAAAATGAAGAAATAGAAGCAGGAAAAGAGATAAATTGCTCTGAATAAGCAAGTTGTAATAGAATTGAGAGGCCTTGGGGAAGATCCTGAAATTCCAGTGTGAGGAATGGTACAGAGAAAGAGAAAGAAGCAAAGCTTTAGGAAGAGGCCACTGCTGTCTGGGTCACACCATGAATACTACCCAGGACTGTAAGGAGAGGGCTTCAGAAACACAAAGTCCTGCAGAGTCCTATCTAGTGTTCTATGATTCCCTTGACACAATTCTTCCTAGGTACCAGGCTGCTTACCTAGAAAGGCTACTGCTACGAAGAAGATATAACCTGTTCTGAACAGAAAATTTCATTTCTTTTTTTAGCCACCCCACAAAACACTAAATTCACTTCGAGAGTTTCTGAAAACAAAGCTAGGCACTGGAGGCTAAAACAATAAAAATAAACAAAAACAAAATGTTATTAGTAGCCTAGTTCTGGGGAGTCAGTAAGGTTTTTCTCTGTAGTCAGATATAGCTAATAACTCTGAGGTCTATATAGCATGTGTACCAGATCTGCTTTATATTTACTAATTTGCTTACTCTTCACTACGAACGTAAGGTAGATGCTGATACTATCTCCATTTTATAAGTGAAGAAACTCAGGTGTATAATGATTAGCTAATTTTCCTAAAGATAGTTAATACTTGGTAGACTATGATTAAACTCCTGAGTTCCTGAGTCAGTGCTTTTAAATAATAAACTTTTAAATAATAAACTGACTCTTCTTTACCCTGTATAAATACAGATAGAAAGGCAGACAGAAAAAAAAACACAGGTTTAAACACACATACATAGGTTGTCTGCACAGATAGGAATAAAATTTAGAAATGGAAACACAGATGCAAATATGATATGGATAGTGATACAGAAATATAGACATAAATCTTCATGGGCCATCGGAGAAAAAGTTTGTATAAAAAAGAACGTCAGCTCAGAAAAATGAGAAATTATATCCCATCTGATTCAAATGTATGATATGTCAAGATCATTGTATTGTCATGTGTAACTAATTAAAACAGATTTTTTTAAAAATGTGAAAAAAAGAACTTCGGGGAAAAGGTGCTAAGAAATGCAGAAAGTTACCATATGTTTCTTCATTCAGAAGCTTATTTTCATATCTGAGACTTCGTGTTTATTTTCATTTTTGTGTAGATGAACAAAAATAGAGTTTTGTAAGATGTGAAGTCTAACTATATACAAGGTAGTCAGAAAGTGTTGGCATTGGGAGATTTAAAAAGGATAAGGAAACTTTCTGGTTCTTTCCATGATGGAGTAACTGTGACCAGACTCTCTCTTGTTGTAAACCAGAAAACTGGACAAAATACATAAAGCAATAGCTAGCAACACTGGAGAATGGGTAGCACAGAATGGTAACCCCTGAAAGAAGAAAATAAACAAGATATATCCCACAATTTCCCCCAGTTTTCTCTCAAAGGGTGCTTTCTAGTGTGCATCTCAGAGACTGGGAGCGCAGACAGCGCAGCAATCTCAACCTCATGAAGTTCAAAAGATAGGAGTCAGGAAGGCTGAGGCAACTGAAATGTGTGGGGCATAGTCATGATGAGGAAGAAGCTACACAAAGAAATAGATCCAGAAGACGTAGGGGTCACGAGGGAGCTGTTGAATACTAAGCTGTGAGGGTATAGGGTGAAGGTCCAAGAGAGCTCATTGAATACCGAGGGCAATCAGTAAAGGCCTAGCCAAGTGGTAAATATGCCCATTTCAATCCTTAACAAAACTTACAAAGCACAGAAAATATCAAGTCAATGTGCAAATACTTTGCCTATCTACCAAAACAAACTTAAATTATTTAAAGGAAGATTTAAAAAAAAACAAAACTATGCAGATACTCAACATCATAAAAATCTCCAACATCCAAGCAAAAATGACTATACCAGCAAAAACAAAGTAGGAAATTTTACCCATAATCTGGATAAAAGTGATCAATGGAAAGAAATGTAGAAATGACAGTGGTAGTAGAATTAACAGAGAAGAGTTTTAAAATAATTAGAAATATGATTAAGGATAAAAGCAAAACATGACAATAAGGAAAAAAATAGCAGATATTTATTTTTGCCTATTTTCAATTGATATTTTTTAAATGTAACTTTTGTTCATACTCTTTAAGTAGATGTACTTTATTAAAATAAAGTTGGTTTTTAAAACAAAATGAGCTCTATTCTAATTTCTTTCACTTTAGACATTGTATTTGTCAGCATTTTAAAATAAATGGAACTTCAAAGGTAAAAACTACAATTTCTAAAATTTAAAAAAAATATTTAAATGAGATTTAAAATGGATTAGACACTGCAAAAGAAACAATCGATAAACCTAAGGACATGGCAATAAAAGCTATCAAATTGACAAGCAAACAATGAACAACAACAAAAAGAAAAAATAAATAACACGACTCTAGGGACTACTATTAAGTCCAACATACAAATATTCATCTCCCAGGGAAGGAGGGATCAGAGGAATGGGTCAGAAAGAAAAGACCCAAACATTTCTCAGACTCGAGGGAAAAACTATTTGAATATAATTCTTGAAGAAGTTCAACAAACTCTGAGCACGATAGGCTTGAATAAATTTATACCAAGTTACTTCAATGTCAAGTGACTAAAAACCAAAAATAAAAAACAAAATATAAACAAACAAACAAACAAAAACCTACAGAGAAAATATTAAATGGGGAGAACTAAAATAAGAATTACCACCGAGTTCCTGAAAGGAGAAATGCTATCCAAAAGAAAATGGAATTAATTCTTTAGAGTACAGAAAGAACACAAACAAAATTAGTAACCTGGTATATCCAACGAAACTATTTTTCAAAAAAAAAAAAAGAGAGAGAGAGAGAGAAAGATTTTTCACGTAACCAAAATCTAAGAGGTGTTACCAGCTAGAGCTCTGCATTGTGTGAGTATAAAATATGTGCAAGAAAGTTCTTTAGGCTGAAAGAAAATGGTACCAAATGGAAAACTGGATCTTCCCAAAGGAATGAAGAACACTGAAAACGGTCAATGTCAGGGAAAATACAAAAAGTTAACACTATTAAGGGGAGGGAGGTATTGCTCAGGGGTAGAGCACTTGCCTAGCAATTGCAAGGCCCTGAGTTTGATCCTCAGCAGCACAATAAACAAAGAGGGGCTGGGGTTGTAGCTCTGTGGTAGATCGCTTGCCTAACACCAGGGAGGCACTGGGTTCAATCCTCAGCACCACATAAAAATAAATAAATAAAAAATAAAGGTTAAATTCTTAAAAATAAATAAATAGAAGGAAGAAAGAGAGTGAGAAAAATGGAATTTTAAAACAATAAATAAAATGCAATTTAAACGTTGTGGAGCTTACAATACACATAAAAGAAAAATAGATGATAATAAATAGTACAAAAGCTATACCATGGATATACCATAGGAATCCCATGTGCTGGGGTACTAAAAAGGAGAGGGAATAGCTATTGTTACATGAAGTATGGAAAATTTTAAAAAATATCATACTGAGCAAAAGAAACCAACACCAAAGAGTACAAACACTCTAAAGTTCTAAAACGTGCTGAACTAGTTTATAACGAGAGAAAGCAGATCAAGTTGCCTAAGGTCAAGATCAATCTCATGGGGACTAACTGCCAAGTGGTCCCAGGGAACATTTTGGAGGTGATGGCAATGTTCTAAGTCGATTTAGGCAATGATTACATGAATGCATGTATACATTTGTGATATTCATTAAACTGTATACTTGACATGGGCTCGTTTTATTTTATGCAAATTTCAACTAAAGCTAATTCCTTCAAAGGTCCCAGCAGATCCTTAACACCTCCCTGCCCCATTTTTCATAGGAGAAGCTAAAAAACCAGAGAGATTAAGTGCTTTAACCCATGTCACATTGACCTTCAGATACAGCTACGAGTGGTGCTTAGAACCTTAATATAGAACACAGTGCCTTTTACTGCCGAGCACAGAACAAGAGAGAAAGGATGAAATGGACCAATTATCCTGAAAAATGAATTTATTCACAAAAAGACACAAAAATGTTGAAAAAGCCTTGGTTTCTGTTTGTTGGGATGGCAGGAAAACTTTTTCCTTGGTGCAAGGAAGGAAAAGATTATTAGACTCAATTGATACCAACTATCACTAGCAAATAATTTTCCTTCCTCCCTGAGTTCCAAAAGGACCCCATTCAAAGTGTTCTTCCTATACCTATAGAGATGGGTGCTGACTCTTCATGATCAAAATCTTTTAGGATAAAATTCAAGCCAAAATATGCCCTCTCCTATGTCAACATGTCAATGAGCACTGTGTAACAGCATTTACAGCTGACTTTCAAACTGTTCAGCAAAAACACACAATGCACATGCTTACACATGTATGTATACAGGTATGGGAAAGCAGGAAGCACATGTGGAAAAACTCATAATCTGTAAATTTGGAAAAAAATTAAATGAAATATAGGAAGAAGCAGGGGTCAGAATGAAAAGAGAGAATGAGTAAAAGAGAATTTGTGCATTAGAGATGTACGTTCTCTGCCAAAAATCTAGGAGGAAGAAGAGAACAAGACGAGAAGAGAGAGAGAGATGGGGGAGAAGGAGGGGATAGAAAGAAAAACAGGGAGAGAGGAAAAGAATGCCACACTGTGCTGAACCTGGAAGCCCTCCTTCTCCTTCTGAGAAGCATTTGCGTTATGCACACATTTCTTCCTAGAACCAGTGGCCACAGGCCCATGTGCTTAGATAAAATCATCCATTCTCCTGAGGAGACTCTTCCTGTAAAAGCCTCAATTGCAGAATCATGGAGGGCCATCTCTCTGCTTTTCTTGGAGGCATTTAGAAAAAATGCTTTGCCACTTTCCCAAGACAATTGAGAAGATGCTCCGTTCCATGACTTACCATCTAGGTCCCCCGGTAAGATCTCTCCTGGACTGCCTGTGAGAGCCCAGCCTTCACCCCTGACACATGTCAGCCCCTCTGAAGGGGAGAGAGAAACAGTCAGGCTCACTGAGAAGGCCAGCCCCACGGAGGAGCACCCTCCGGCCTCCCCAACCCCTTCTTGCCATTGCCAGAGTCTGCCAGGGTCTCAGCCCAACCCCCTTCCTGGGAAATGAAATAAAACCAAAAGAAAACTCACCTTAAACAACAAGGCTGTCCAGGGAGAGTCTGAAAACGAAGACTGCGGAAGCCAAACATTGATAAACTTAATTAAATTTCTAATGAAAACAGAGGCAGCCTGTAGTGATTACTCTCTGTAACTGAGACTAATATTCCAATTAGGCTAATTCATCCCCTGATGCTCTAAACATAGTTATAGGTTGAATCCATATTTCTTTCCTCTTGTCAACAATAGATTTCCATCATTCTCGAAGCTCGGGTTTCAGCATTAAAAGCAGCAGCTCTGGTCTCCTCTGGTGGATGCCTGCCTGCCTGGTCCCTGCATTACAACCGGGTTGGTTTTCTCTCCTTTCCCTTCTCCAAGGTAGTAGGAATTTTCTGAAGTACCATTTCAGGGATCCTTAGTTTTGTCCTCTGTCTCACTGTGAAGTTAGTCTTCCTCCAAAATTTAAAAATAAAATAAATACAACTGAGAAAGTGTTTTCTTCTTTGTACTGCCCTTAAATGGGGATAAACAACTATAAACCAGGCTGGATTTTTAACAAAGCAGAGCCAAATGTACCCAACGGAAAGCACAAGCGATCCCACAGGATGTAGAGGGCAGAGGTTACTCCACTGGGAGTCACCAAACAGAACAGCATCCCGGCAGGAAGGGTGACAGAACCATGGGGGCCAAGTTTACGTCTCAGCTGCTCCATTTACTATCTGCAGAAGTTACTCCACATTTCTGAGCCTGTGTTTACTCTTGTGTATAGTGAGAATAATATGAGTTTTCTTAGGTTCTGTTTGTGGGTCAAATGAGACAAGAGAGTTGCTTTTTATTGTTGCTGCTGCTTCTTATATGCCTAGAACAGTGAAATACATCTTACACACATTATTTCATTTATCTCAGAACTCGCAGCTCACAATGCCTAGTCCTCATTCACAGGCAGAGCTGAGAGAAGGACCCAGGTCGATTCCCAGGTCTGTTCTGTCCTTGACCAATAGCTTACTGATATGTTCAATTATAGGAAAGACTAAAACTGCAGACTATTTTTTAAAGCAGTTTCATTACCTTTAGTTAAACACATTTACTCTAAGTGATCATTCAAAAAAAAAATATTGTCAAACATGAGTCTTCCTCAATGTGCTTTAATGAACACATAAAAGTCATTTGTAATGAGCACATTGTTTATATGTCAATGGGATTACGAAGTGCTGGAAAATAGTTTGTTTTCTTAATTAGATTAAACAGGCTTCCTGCAATCTCCCTTATTTTATTGATTTACTTAATGAAGCTTTTTTTTTCATAGATAGTGCAAATGTAAACTCAACTTGGCCTGTGAACAAATTATCTTAAATTCTGAATCAGTGGGGTCTTAATTAATGAGGCTTTACTCTATATCACTAGTCAGGCACAAAGATTTATTACGTTCACATAGTCATTATGAGGACAATTCTCCACAAGCAGCTAAAGAAGATGGCCTTGCTCAGGTCCCTGGAGAAGAAATTGCTTTCCTCCCACTTTCATTCAGGTCACCTGCGGTGGCAGAGGCACTGTCATTCAGGGGCTTATTTAGAAGGAAGGCATTGGAATTGAAAGACACAGGCAATGAGCGAGGCCCTGCCAGAAGGAAGTTCTCGAACCAAACAGGCACCAGGAAAGATCCCAGAAAGTACTTCCTTTGTCTTAGGGGCACCAGAAAGAGGAACACAGTGGAGCCATCAGTGGTTCTGGGCACAGTGTTAAACCCTAATGTTAAAGCCAAGGTATGGCAGGGGGTTGGTCAGAAGCCAAGTACCAAGGTCAGCAATAATGTCCTTGCAATTTTAGAGGATAGCTAAAGTCGTCTCAGTAAAAGCACAGAAAAAAGGCAAAAGTGTAAAGATAAAAGTCCTCTCTGAGCATGCTACGGAGCCCCAGGTGCAGTGATTCCCAACGGTGGCCAGTATGGGGCCTCTCCAGTTCCAAACCATCAACCCCACTCTGGCAGGATCCCCTTCTGCAGAACCTTAAAGCAGCAGGGCACCACCAAATGATCTAGAAACTCAAGACCTCCACCATTCACTCCTCACCTTTGGGACATTATCTAAGGACATTGTCTGAGACCATTGTCCAGGGACACTTGTAGAAACCGGTGATAAGTCCCATCATTCAGAGAAAGACAAACCTTGTAAATTTTTTTACAAGCAGTACTTAATCCCCACAACTACCAAAATGTATATAAGTACCACCAAATCACTTTGAGTTTGAAAAATTGAAAGCTTAGAAATTTTAAATAAGACCATTCTGTCATCATATTCTACACCCAGACTGGGTCTGGCTAGGAAACCGACACAGGGGCCCACAGAGTGAGCTGCTGAAATGCTCAGTGACGGTGCAATTGAGGAGGAATGCTGTGTTTTTTATGTGTGCCCCCAAAGTTCATGTGTTGAAAATTGAATCCTCAAATTCATATGCTAATGGTATTTGGAGGTGAGACCTTTGGGAGGTAATCAGGATTAGATGAGATCATGATAGAATTAGTGATTTAATAAGAAGAGGAAGAGAGACATGAGCTTGCTCAGCGTCATCATGCGTTGCTCTCTGCCATGTCATGATGCAGAAAGAAGACATAACCCCTCGGATGCTGAGCAGAGGCAGGTGCCATGCTCTTAGACTTCCCAGACTCCAGAAACATAAACTAAATGAACCCTTATTCTTTATAAATTACCCAGTCTAAGGTATTTTATTATAGCAACAGAAAATGGACTAAGACAAGAGATGATCCGGAAGGGAAAGACTCAGACACAGTTGAAGAGCCAGTGAATGACTATGAGCAGGCACAGCCAGCCTTTAGGAATCCAGAGCATTAAAAGAAGCTTACATTGTTCACAGAAAACTGTCATCAGAGAATCATAAGTGACAAGACATTTGGTATTATAAAAGAGGATAACAATAAATTCATCATATTGGACTTAGGGTCCCCAATGCTCACATATTTTTCTCCTCTGCAGCCAACAGTTCTAAACTGTTGACCCAATCCAACAAAAGGTCTTTGTCTTCAGTCAGGGTCCTGATCCAACTGTGCACAGACTTAGCCTCCTTGTTTGAAGTAGGGAAGTGATACCTGCGGTCAGTGAATTCTACTGATTCTAACTAGGGCAAAATGAGTATAGGAAAGCCCAGAAGGAGGGCACCCGACAGCATATTTCTAGACCTGGGAAGGTAGGTGCTGCCATCTCCACCCCTTGGGGTAATGGTAGGCTTAATAAGAATCAATATTGAATGGTGGTGGAGAACTTGAGCTCCATTGTCACTCAGACCTAATATCCTTCTTCTGTCTACAGTCATCAGCTAGATGATATGGATAAGCAATTCAACCTTTCAAAGCCCTGTTTCTATCCATCTGTAAAATGTTGATACTAAAAATAGCGCTTGATTCCATAAAGTTGTCAGAAGAATTAAAACAAATTATGTCTACAAAATGCTTAGCCAAGTGCCTGGTACACAGTGCTCATAAATGCCAGCTGTTATTATTATTGATGCTTTTCAAAACTCTTTCACATTCACAGTTTCATCTGAACCGAGGAAACCTAAGTCCAGGCTCAGCCTACCAATACAAGATCACGTGTGTGACTGTATCAAAATTACCTCAGCACCGTCTCTCCCTGTTCCATTCCTCCACGAAGAGGTAGTTCCAAAACGAGTTGACAGGCCTGGAGGTAGCATGCCAGTGACCATTTCACGTCTCCTCTCCTCAGGAGAAAAAGGAAAATAGTGAGGATATCAATCACTGAACTTCAGATTTTTTTCAACAAGTAAGCATAATAACCTTATGTTCCGAGTTGTCTTGTGGCGTAGATGCAGAGAAAACACAAGGGAGCAAACCCAGGTTGGCCTAGAGGGATTCGGAGTCCTTACCTTCTCCGTACTTACAACTTAGCAGAATTTAGAACAGGTCCCTGAGGCATGTCCGTTGACACTTACAAATAACCGACTTATGTTGTAGCTATTTTTAGGTAGGCATGCACTGTCTCCCTAGCATATTGTAAATTCCTTGGGGACTAAAACTTTGACTTATGTTCTCTTTGCTTTTCCCGAGAGCATCTAGAATGGTGTTGTGTGCATAAAATGAGCCCAATAAATATGAGTTGATTCATTAAGAGAGAGACTCAATAAGCAGAAAGAAATGCCACTTCTGTGAGACTGAGGGCAGCTGAGAGCCCTTTGGCTACCTATCCCTAAGAGCTCCAGGTAATTTGGGCATGTAATTAAGAAGTTTATGTTTTGTAATCAGGAATACTCAGGGAGCTTATCCAATGCCTCACCCACTTGTACTACAGAATAACACACTACCAAAGACGCCTAACACGCTCAGTGCTAACACCCTTCCGGCCCAGAGTCTTCAGTTGCTGGTTAGGGGACATTGGTTTCCCCCCATTCCAGAGAAACCAAGAGAGAAAATGGTACCTTTAAGTATTGACTAACACCAGCTCCAGGAGTTTCTAAGCACAAGGTGTAAATGACACCCATGGCCAGGAACTCAAATGGCCACAGAATCTCTGCCTGGATATGCGTTTAGAACTGTTGGCTGCAGAGAAGAGAAACAGGTGGGCATTAGGGACCCCTTCTAAGTCCCACATGATGAATTTACTGTTATTCTCTTTTACTGTAGACTATATAAGCCAGCCTGGTACCAAAAGGGAAATGTCAAATAAAATCAAGCACCTGAGAGTTGAAATTTTTAAAAGACCCATTTGGCAACTTCTATTACTTGCTTGTTGACAGTGTAAACTTTGCTGGGCAAGTTGAAAAGCTATACCAAACAAATCCTATCTCTGGCAATTAGAAGCACTTAAATAAGCTAATATAATCAATTATGTCTTTTAATTTGCCAGACAGCACTTACAGGGTTTAATTTTCTGCTGCTACACCTTCCAAATTATCTTCAGGTGGTGTTTGGAATCTAATAGGAAAATGTATTACAGTTGCATTGATATTATCTATGCTAAATTCTTCATACACACTTCTCAGACCAACATCATCTGTATCCCTAGAAATGAAATGCTTAATGAAGAAAAGGCATATCTGCTTAACTTTTTCTATTTCAAAATCCTCATCTCAGCCTTCTGCTAGTTTGCCCACAAAGTTATAGACATTACTTGCGGTAATAATACGCTCCAACTATACCACAGACAGAAAACACATAATCCAAAAATAACAGCTTAAGAGAGATAAATTAGGAGACTAAACTTCTTATCATGGAACTGTATAATTCTTTATCATTTGGAAGAAAACATATCCTAGTAGAAAAATAAGCAAACATCTAGGACTTCGGTTAACAGAAAGCAGATATGCTAGTGTCTTTAAGTGTCTTTAGTCCTTAAAGAACTAATAAGAATTAGATGATTATGTTTAAGATATCATAATGGTTTCAGAAAAAGATATGGGATGTGGGTAAAGGCCAACTGTCCCACACAAAAGAGGAACCACTTCACACAGGGACAAGATCCACAAACAGTTCTATCTCTGTATCTAGAAAGTACTAGAA